ATAGTATTGTCGACACTGTACTCAAATTTTTATGAACAAAACGCGTATTCAAATATAGAGTTCGTCCAGGGAAGTACTGCCACTTACCTATTTTTGCCGCCAAGAAGTAATGAGAACATTACTGCGTTCCGGTTTCGAAGGGCAAAGGTGCTGAAATTACAGGCACATGGGACTTGTCAACTCATGTCTCAAGGTGTCGGGCGCAGTTGCAGTGCCCTGTGTGTGCGGCAACTGTTATGGATAGGCGTGTCGATTACCACCAGGCACCAGACTTCTACGCCCCGTCACTTAGTATTATAAAAAAATATATGTAATCAATTCCGAATGGTCCCAGGTTTTGTAAAACGGAATGTCCATGTTCTTCCTCAATTCCGATCACAAGTGGTAAGAAGGCTACATCTGCATAATGACAACTTTTCAGGACAGGTTTAAGGATTATACGAACGAAATTAATTAATAACTTGTATACATAATTTGTTTCCTGTAGTTATTTTATGACGTTCGTGTCATAAAAGCACTTTTAACATAAAATCACCTGTGACTTATCCAGTTGTGTATCTTGCTGAAAATATAAAACATTCATGCTTTGTTGTTGTAAGTAATTCAATCGATATTCGACTACATTTTAGTTAAATACACACGGAAAACTAACGTTATAGACGTTTCAGGGCGGCATAAAATTAGACAGAAAATATATGCAGATAATTTAGGATGTAGGTACAGTGTATATCGAGTTCTTTGTTTTTCGCGATTGTTACACATAGGAAATGAAACTATTTTTCCGGATTTAAATCGTATAAAAAGGTGAAAAAAGACCCTACCACCAAGATATTAAAAACAACAACTAAGTTAATAGATAAGCACTCCGATACACTGAAATTTGATGTAAGTGACTTTGTGCCCTGCTGCGTAAAACCTCCAAAACTGTATGGGTTACCAAAAATACATAAGGCTGACACCCCACTCCGTCCCATAGTTAGCCTGATTGACACACCAACCTACAAACTGGTTCAACACATGGCAAAGGTACTGTCACCATTGAGAGGGAACACGTCTACACATGTGAAGGATTCATCCATTTCATCAGTGGAATCAAAGATCTACGGTTAACTGATGATGACACCATGGCCAGTTTTGATGTTCAGTCGCTGTTCACCAACCTACCAGTAAAAGACTGCATTGTACGTAGATAGTTAAGGGAACGTCTATTGAATATGCAGAATTATTAGAACACTGCCTAACATTAGGCTATCTATTGTGGAATAATGAATTCTACGTACAAATCGACGGTATAGCGATAGGTTCTCCGGTATCTCCCGTTGTTGCCGTCATACAGATAGATACCTCAATGGTAATTCCCATCACCATCCTAGCCAGTTAGCTACCGTGGGCAAATCTTTGTTTCAGAGAGCACATGGTGTCTGCGACAGTAATCATCTGGCAGGGGAACTTCAGCATATAAAGCAAGTCCTACATGCGAATAAGTTGAGGATTCCACGCCAATGCCGCAGACCCCGTGTGAAACCACCAACAGTCGAGCGAAGACCTGCCATCTTACCTTACGTGAGAGGTGTTACAGACAAGATCGGAAGAGTCCTCAGGCGTGCATCTATCAAGACCTATTTCAAGCCCCTGAGGAAGATTTCTCAGTTCCTGAGACCCGTGAAATATAACATCCCCTTACAGGATGCAGGAGTTGACAAGCTTGACTGTGAGTGCGGTCTCTCTTATATTGGACAAACAAAGCGAAGTATTTGTACCCGCGTCAAAGAACATATAGCTGATGTCAAACACCGTCGCGTAAACAAGTCTGTAGTCTGCGAGCATGTCATGGATAAACCTATACATTTAATGAAGTTTAACAAACCCCAGGTCCTTGCAAAAGAAGTCCGTTATCTACCCAGGATGCTGCGAGAGGCCATTGAAATTAAAAAACATCCTAATTTCAACAGGGAAGATGGTTTCTCCGTACCACCAGTTTGGGATCCAATATTTCCTCTGATGAAAAATCCCAAAGAGACATAAGACTAACTAAGCAGTACTAATTAATATGTTTTAATTTATTCAAATTTCTATTATTAATTAACAATAAATTGAACTTAAGAAAAATTCATTCAATAAAATAATTTGCAAAACGTAATGTAGCGTAAATTGGAATGTTTTCTTTGTAAAATTAAAAATAAGGCTTAAAATTATATAACTTTTGTAACTATAGTGAAAAATAGGGTGGTTTGCATTGACTTACAAATGGTTTGCATTAATATTAGACATAACTGGTTGATGACTGTTCCACCTCAGTCAACCGTGACCATAGGACCTGTAAAGGGCCCGAAATTTCGGTTTGTTTGATAAAACAAATATACGCGATTTAAATCCGGAAAAATAGTTACGTTTCCTATGTACAATGTAGATATTTAAAAAAAATTGGGTAGCGGCAACCGAAAACTAATATTTAAATTTTATTGTATCTGCATGTAATTGGTGTTAAATTTTTCATGCGTTGTAACATAAATGTTTTTCTATTCCTGGTTATAGAGCAGAGAGAAATCATTTTACATTATTTCGTTAAGGGCCGATATAACCTCAAGTTGGCTTTGGTTGATTTCGCATAACAGTGAAAGTGTTGAAACAATCACTTTAGAAAGAGTACATAGTACAATTGAGGATATACACTGATATAGTACACGACGTGAAAACACAATTCTTAAAAATTTTCACGACAGCAAAAAAAACACAAATATACCTTGAAATTTTACAAGAAAACCGCTGTATTCAATAGGTACGTGTATATACCAACGATTTGTTATATCAACTGAACTGAATAGAACACGATATACATTTTTCGTATGGCTTCAATTTCGTTTCTAAAAAAATAAATCCAATACCGTGTACCGGGGTTAGTTTGATCTACGGGATTACTTTGATCAAAACTTCCTTTTCACATGCAAATTGACAAAAGGCAACTACTTTTGTGAGAATTTTTTTTTCGGGTGGCAATTCTGATAAACAGTCAAATTCATTTCTGCGGGTGCGCTGGAGATTTCTCTGTATTTTATGTACAAATAGGTAAGTTTTCCGTTACAACCTATTTTTCAAAAAAGGGGGGTTTCAAAGTAACCCCAAATCAATTATAACTTTAATCACGCTGTTTCTATTTTTTTTCTCAAAATGTATTGAATAATTCTTTGTCCTTTTAACGTTTTTAGAGAGAACTATTAAAACCGATGAGTCGACATTTTTTGTAAAAAAAATAACGGGGTAAAAAGATACAGACGTTTAAATTTCAAAATTGATCAAAGTAACCTCGGTTTACGATGAGGGAAAAATTTTAATTCGAGCCGAGATAGAATGGACTTTTAAGTAAATAATTAAAGTTTTACCTTTGGTACAATAAAGCCACATGTAATTATACGTCAAAAGTGAAAAATATTGTATAAAAATATATGATCTTTAAGAAACAAATCTTAAACTCTCAAAAATTTAAGCATACAAAAGTTATTCGTAAAATTTTTAAACCTCTCCTGAAAAATTGTCATTTTGCAGATGCGACCTTATTACACGGAAGGTGCGAAGTGTTTTTTAAATAAGGCTTTAACATGTTAATAGTATTCCAATATGTATTTTTCCTTCATTGCGAACGGTTTAAAATTTATCAAAAATCCCCCTTAACTACATAGATATTTCAAAAGCGAAAACGAACAGAATATATCCGAGACGAATTCGTATACAAATAATAGACGATGCCAAAATATACCTCCTTGTGATGTATGTATACATAAAACACATTGTGTATATGAAATGAATGGACTAAAGCCGTATATTTGCAGCGGCAATTTATTATCGAGGTCACGGGCGTTTCTTCGAGAGCAATAGGCGATCAAACAATATTGAATTACACTATGTTACGTCCGAAAACGAAACCAAAAAAGAACAAATTAAATATTTTCATTATCATGGATACAAAAATAGAGAAAATTCCTTCGATGTGACGACTCAAACCAGACAAGTTCCAACCACCAATCACCTGAGTGAGTAACTTCATTTAGTTTTTCACAGGTGTGCTGACAGCGAAAAAAACTGTTTAAACTAGGGATTGAAATAATAATTATTATAGATAATTCTAAATAAATCTTCGATAATAAGAACGTTGATAATTATGAAATTAACTGGATTAACAAAATGCTATCGCCAGCAATGTCGTGCCATGTCTTTGTATCGGAGACCAAAAAAAGTCACAAATCAAATCGAATATCGAATGGAAAAATATTCCAGAATATTTTTCTTCGTGTTTAATTAGTTTTCTCATTGTTGGTCATTTTTAGTAAAAAAAATAAAGAGAAAAATATAAATCAGCATCGATAATTATCAAATAATTATAATAAGAAAATTAACATTCATTATTAAAGAAAATAAACATTTTAATAATTTCCTTTCTTGGTTCAAATAATACAATGTATTATTAACTAATACATAATGAAATTCGTATATCTGCTGAATAGGTTGGTGGCATCGGTGTGGCTACACTTTTCTTTAAATAAAAATAAAATAAAATTATTTTATTTCAGACAATGAGTTCCATAATCTGTTAGTAATAATAATTATAAGAAAAGTGCTTATACACTGGCGTCACTAGTTTTTTTTTTTTTCAAATCACCTTCCTAATGAAACATTGCCACATGGCAGAGGTAATCCTACCAGCTACAGTTTGTAGGATGTTGTTGGGGCTGTCCCGCACTCTGCGCATCACAGATGCTGTCTGGTTTTCCGGAGGATGGCAGCAAATCCATCCGTCTCATCAAACATCCCCGATGCACTGCAGAAAGGAGGCAGTCCCAACATCATCCTAAAAATATTATTATACTGTACACGTAGGCTCTCCAGCGGCCGTTTGGTGTAGTCAACCCATAGGCTCCCGGTGTAGAAACTTTGACACTAAGGTTTAAAAAGCGTTAATTTTACTTCTCCTGTACACCGGGAAAACCTACGTATCAACGTATTACCTCTTACCGCTAGAGCCTTACGCTCTCTTTCAATATCGGCATTGTCCTTAAGGTCGTCGGTAACGTAATGACCTAGATATTTAAAAGAAGTTACTCTTTTAATGTTCATGCCGTTAAGGGTTATTTCTGGGAATTCTTAGATTATTACAGGCGGCATTATAGCGGAGACTATGAGAAGCAGCGTAGTCAGCACAGACCTTCAGCATCTCTTCGACCGACCTCGCTGTCGGACCCAGCAGCACCATATCGTCCGCGTAGATGATGTTGTTAACACAAACACCATCCACGCGGCAACCGACGCGCATGCCGCTGAACCCAACAATGAGATCATTTACATATAGGTTGAAGAGCGAGGGGGAGCTTACCCAGCCTAACCCCGCACTCCAAACCATATGCGTCAGAGAGGGCACTACCCCACTTTAAAACATTACTTTGGTGATTGTTTGGTACAATACAACAAAAAAATTTTAACAAGTCAGGCGGTACATCCCTGCCTCCCAACTTTCCCCAGAGTATATCATAAGATACAAGATCAAATGCCATGGAGAGGTCGAGGAAACAGATGTACACCGGCGTCCTGCGATTAGTATAGTACTGCACAGTTTGCTTGAATGCTAAGATTGCACTTTCTGTTGATAGTCCACATGTTCTGTGGGTGACGCACAGTTCGCGTTTAGTCCTAGTTTTAAATATTTTTTTAGAATAGAATGATGCATACTGTCCAGCACCTTGGTTATTGTAGTGGTTATTGTAGTGTAGTTCCTCTTGTCCGAAACGTCTCCTGCCCTGTTCTTCACAAACGGAACTGTAATCGTGTTCATAAGGTCAGCAGGCAGATAATCATGACTAAGAAACATTGAAGAACATGGACATGAGACTTGGCAAGATGTTCTCCGCATACTTGAGATGCTCGATGCTGAGCCCATCGTGCCCGGGAGACTTGCCTCTCGTCATACCTTTAATTGTAGCACGTACCTGGTCAGGAGGCAAACATAACAGAGGCTACATCACTCGAGAATAGAACTCAGCATCGATCACTGCAGAGGAAGGCCCGATGGGAGAGTAAACTTTCAAATGTTCCATGAACACACGCCAGTCCATAATAGTTGCAGTGCCACTGAGCGCTTTAAATCGCAAAGATCGGGCACTCCCACTACGCCCTACCACCTGAGACATAAGTTGACAAGTCCCATGTGCCTGTAATTTCACCAGCACCCTTATCCTTCCAAACCGGAATGCAGTAATGCTCACATTGCTGCTCGGCGGCAGAAATAGTTAAGGTGGCAGTACTTCCCTGGACGAACTCTTTCACAAGGAGCTGTACTGCTACTACAATGAAAAATCACGGTAGTAAAACATCAACTCATACTTGGTACTTGGTGCAACGGGCTGGTTTCCGCAACTCGACGACAAAGCGCCTATTTTACGTGTGGTGGGTGCAGGGCTCGTGCCATCCAAGCTCCTCCAGGAATCTCAGCAGCCTCCTTGGTTTGCTGAAGACTTCGGGGAGCGACCTTGGCACTCCAAGGTACACGTACATCATACACGTAACATCAACTCATTCAATATTAATAAACAATGTAATTATTTTCATTCAATATTACATCAGGAAGTTTACTAACCTACTTCAGAAATGGCATGAAAGTACTATAAACCTACTACTAAATATTATGACTTTGCAGTTGTCTCATGCCTTGTTTAAATTGTGTTATCTTCATGACCCATTATTTACCCAGTAATACATATTTTTTTGTTTTAAGAATCCACATTTCGCCGTCCACAACAATACGTATGTTGTGCAATTTATTGTAATTTACAATTTCGGCGAAAATAAATACACGTGCCACTACTGGGCACGAGTCTCTTAGAAGGAAGCGATCTAGGCCAGAGGTTCCTAAACATTTTTGTCTCGTAGATCACGTGCCAATTAAAAATCAAATTATTTATTGCATTCATGTTGTTACATAGGTCTTAAGTTAGATAGTACAGATCAAACATGAACCCTGTATTTGTTTTGTTTTGCGTAGACCCATTGAAAACGATTTCTTTTACAAATTCATCAACTTCAAACATGTTTTGACAGCTGCAGGAATATTACTCGCTTTGATAACGTTAACTGTTATAGTGAGAAATTTATGAAAAAAAAACATGTTAAGTTGTATACATTTATCTAACCGCATATAGCTCCATATTTGTTTGTTGTGAAATGTGTAATTCATAAGTAGTTTACGTCTATGAGCAAAAACAAAATACGTAACAATGTTCAAGTTATGGGACTCACCCATAACAATTACAGTGTCACTCAGAGCTACGAAATCCTAAAGATCTGAGACGCACTACCACTGCATCCATCGTCCTGACCACCAACGCCCTTATCTTTCATAACCGGAACGCAGCAATACTGATATTACTGCAGCAGAAAGTTTCAGTAGCCATTAGAGATGCGCGACTTTGAATGTTATTTATACTAATCATTAGAATGGGCAAATCATTCGCCTAAGTCTAATCCGAGCACAATCATTCGACTCGAGTCGATTTATTACCAATACCGAATGCTCCTTCAATTCGGTCGTGCGTACGAGTCGATTGATTATTATGTCTGATCTACTCGGAACTCCACCTGATCATTCACCATGTCCATATCAAAATATCTCGGTCCCCGTCAATTTATGGTATTTACCATACGTCAGAGAGGCAGAAAAGCCCTATGGCGTCTATGGATTAGTAATACCTGTATGGGCCACCTTACTGCAAACATGGATTGTAATGGTAGTACGTAGAGAAAGACTTGCAAAGAATTGGTAAAAGTATATTTAGTGGCAAATCTTTCCTTGATGTAGTGTATCAGTGGACAGTTGGTAACGTAGTGTGAATCACGTATTTAAGTTAAAAGTGCGGCACGTGGCTAAAGTAAATCGCCGCGTGCGCAGAGTTGTACCGAAGAATGTATGAGACCATACAATACTCATGAATGTTAATACTTTACTATTAAGGATTCAGCTACTTAATAAAATAAAATGACATGAAAAACCTTTAGGAGCGTATATTCTAATTTGCTACAGTAAAAGGTAATACGTGTTAACACGCTTAGCTACGATAGCGGAATGAATCGAGTGAGGGGCGCGCGGGCGGCCCAGCGGCGCCGGAGCTCTTTTGCATTAACATGAATTAATGATCATTCAGATCATCCGAATACGAAAATTAGTACATTACTAATTTGTCATTCGAATGACAGGATTAGTAATTTACTCATGAGTCGAATAGGTATCAAAGTCATTCGCCAGTATTGGACGCACATGGCTTACAAGGCCACAAGGCGTGTATCATCTGAAACTCTTCACATTTCTTTGTGTTTATTTTGAATTAGCGACAAAAACCGATGACAGTTTGAGCAGTGGCTGAGTTACATAACATATTTTCATGAGATTGACTAAGGCGTCAAAATGTCCGTCTTCAATTATTATTATGCTCTTAATTGACACCAATTTTTGTCAACAGCGTATGACTTCATAAAATTTACAAGCAATTTCAATGGAAAATCTTGAACAAATTGGAAAAAAAACCAATCAAATTGAAAAGATTTTTAAGGACGGAAAGATGATAAAAAATTATGTAAACATTCACTAAAACGTGAGTTAAAAGAGTACCTTTTAAGTAACTCTTTATTTAATCAATTAAATACTACATGATAATATAAAGTAAATTTTCATCACACTTGCATGTAAATAATATGATTGAAAGCCATAGTGATGTAATAAGAAGAAAAAAGGCCCGAGGGTTTTATTTGGGACATTATAGTCAAGTTAGCGTGCATGCAATCATACTATTTACGTGCAAGTGTATGAAACATACAATGTTTATTGTATGTTTCACACGCGGTACCGGAATTACAAATCTAATGGAATCTCGTTCGCAATTCCTTATTTACTGCCTTTAATACACAATATAAACTAAAATTGGATATAATTAAGAGTGCAAATTGGACTATATTTTTTGTGTGTGTATTTTATGCGATTATTCTGACATTGTTGACCCTACTACGTACTGCAACTGTTATAGACAGGCGTGTTGCTTACCATCAGGCGCAAGGCTTGTTCGTTCCGTCACTTAGTAATAAAAAAACATGGAACTCTACTGCTACTAAATTAACTATTTTAACAATTCCCGACTGTACGTATTTTATTTTCAACACAACAGCATTACTAAAGAAAATACTTGTTACAAATTTCATAAACACGACAGTCCGTATCAAAGTAAATAAATACGGAAAGCTGTGTGTATTTGTGTGTTATAAGTGTATTTACTCAAAAACCGTAGCCATAATATCCGGGTATAACAAAGCCAAGAATATTTCTATATTGATTATATTGAATATGTTAAATATCGTCGGTGATTGGTAGAAATGGTGTAAGCGAGATTTCCAAAAATTTTTCATGGGAGCATGTTTTAGGCTTTCACGACTGTTAAAATATTTACGTTCTGTTTTAAATTCAATTTTAATTCTTAAGCTTAATTAAAACCAAAATTGAATTCTAAAACAGACAGAGAATCAGTACAGAGTACTAAAAAAACCGACCTCCAAAGTACGTGGAATTACATCTATTTGCCAAGTTTTTTTTTAATCGGTTAACGGAAAGTGGGCAAACTCCGATTCATCCCCTAATGCGCCACTATACGGAACTTGGCACAGAGTTAATAAAAATCGGTTCTCACTACTCAAAGTATATTGAGAGAGAGAAACGCCTTAAATTAGAGAATAGCTAAATCAACCATTATAATAATTGCTCCTTATAATAAAATTTAGGCGCTATTTATAAAAATGAATCTTCATGCGTGAACAGCCACCCTTAGAGGTGGATGATTTTCTTCAAAATTAAATGGAACCACTATGGAGGTACCCTCTTTCCAACAAAAAAAGTATCATGAAAATCGATGCACAAATACCGGAGTTATCGCGTAACATACATACAAAAAAACATGCACAACAACAAAACCTCCTCCTCGGTTAAAAACACCTTACTGTGCTGTTTTGGAGTGCAAAAATGATAACCTCACCAAGAATATTACCCGTGGTGGTGTTTCATATCATGGGAAATTCTTATTTTAATAGATTTTCAATTTCCTGTTTATCGAAATGTTTTTTGTTACAAGAAACGAAAGTAAAGCTTATACTCGCTTCTTGTTTGGAGAACTAACTACTCCCTTTCTCCGTGCGACTGAACCAATTACTGTCAAATAAGTAATACTCGACCAAATTAAAAGATGCAAAATGCGAATGGAGCTTCATACTCATTGAGTATATAACCAGAAATAGAGACGAAATGAGGGCCATATATTCCTGGTAACACATTAGCGATACAGCTCTTATAAATATCAACTCTCGTTTGCACTG